ATGAAATGACATACAACATGTTTGAAATAGCCACTTGTTTTTCCCTGTCCACAATGGTAGACAGCAAATGATAATTTAGTTCCTTGCACATAAAAACTAAAGGCCATATTTTCTGGAATAGGTGGTGTAAAAATCACCTGAAAATAAAAAGAAGAAAAATTTGAGTAAAATGTTAAAGTAAATGTACAAATAATTACCGTATTTTTATTTCGTCTTAAATCATCAATACGTTTTTTTTTTTGGTAATAATATGTTGTCTTTGGCATTATTTATACATTCAATAATTAAATCAAGATACTATTAATTAAAGTCAACTTTAACATATTTTCAAAATTCTGATACGTGTCAATCTTACATGAATAGCCTTATTCATTTGTTCGAAATTACGTTCAAAATCTGTTAGTTGTATATATCTTAATGCTTGTTCAAGATGATGTTTACATTCATGTAGCTAAAAAGATAAAAATCAGATTGATTTTTTGTCAAAATAATGTTTATTAGTCAAAGAAATACCTGTTGAAGAAACCAATATTTCATTTGCGATGGTACAATATTTGTTTTAAATACACTATTCATTGGAGGAGATACTTTTCCACCTGCTTTATACAGCACTTCACCAGCCACGATATCCGATCCATGTAATGTCACCGTACATTTTAATATTTCACTGTTTCTACACTCCCAAAAACGAATTATATTAATTTTAAAACTATCTATGTGACAGTCATTTTGATAGTAACAGGGTGACAGCATCCATCATATTACTGTTACTTATCTTAATTCCTATACTCACTGTGGATGTGTTAGAGATAACACTAATGGGTGCACATTTGAATCGCCGTTAGATAATGTTGCTAAATAAAGCAGGATAATAATCAAACTTGTTCAAACTTTGTCTTCACTTACGATCATTTGATCTTTTTAGCGTTTTAATTGCAGTCTAAATGAGAAGATTTATTGTGTAAATCTTTATATCTATCAGTGTGGTAGCCTTCTATAAGGCAACAGACCTTAAGGATTTCGTTTGTCTCTGTCAGAACCCGATCAAAGTCGTTTATCATTAAATTATCGAGTTCTAAACGCTATACAAAGAACAGAAAATTATTGTATACATTCATTAAACACGCTGCTTTGTAAACTTACTAGTACTTTACATTCTTCTATCAACTCCGCCTTTTCATCCATGAAAAACTAAAGTACGTTTGAAACGTACGTTTGTAATCTGGAACTACAATAAGGAAGGTACTAAATTTAATTACCTCTCTAATCAATGAAAAAGTTGAGATAAGCTGATAACTTGTTCTATTATTCCAAGTACGAGACTCTCGTTGCAATGTAGAAATTATTCACAATTCTGTAAAAATTTCCAGATTGAATTCAAAATACTTTCGGTTTTCTAAATAAGCAAAGGGGTTCAGTTTTGATCGCTAATTTAAAATAGATCTTTATTGTCGAACGATCAAATCTCACAGTTCAACAAAAGTTGTTCTTAGGATATCGAATTACATGCTAACCGATAAGGGAAAGCTGTAACACTGTTAAACCAATTCCAAAAATAAAGAAAGATATGTCTTACGAGGAAATCACCCCAACTGTCCACTCGTTTTTTCCACGAAACCTAGTGGACAATAGGTAATCGAGTATGCTGAATCTGAATATCATAGTGGTTTGGGTGTATATGGCTCCAGAGATCGGTTTTCTACAAAACCAGTTTTTCAGAAACTCTGAAAAATAACCAAAACCTCTCTTAATGAGATATAATTGTAGCCCGCACATTTCTGATTAAAATGAGACATCTCTCAGCCACAGTGGGCATTTTCCCCTAGAGCAGGCGGACATCTGATTTTTTGAGTTAAAAAATGATTATTTTAGCATAATATGGTCTTACTATGTGTCAGATATTAGTAGAAGTAAAAAAGGTTGAATTCGAAAAAAAAATTTTTTTCGACAAAAAGTTCCTTAGGGGGACCCTTGCCCTGAATTTTTGTCACAAAATGTTTTATTTGTAAAACTAACAAACTATACCTCATTAGATGCCGTTTTTCACGCTGATTCCGAATATGTATATTGTTCGGAAAAAAATTGTATTTGAAGTGAAAAAATTGGCTTTTACCTAAGAAACCTGGGATTTTGGAAAACCAAAATCTCAGTCCAGGAAAATATGCGCACTTTTGTGCATTCACCATAGATGCACGGCCTCGCGAAGAACATTTTGGTATAAAAATATGTTAGTTCGGACCTGCGCTAAGCTGCGCGTTCTCAAAATACCGGAGAGAGCCTTTACAGTCTAGACCGTTTTCGAAAGAATCCATTCCAAAACTCTTAAGTTTCACTCGAAAAACAAAATTTTTTTATTTCGTATTCGTCTGACTGTGTTCTTTCCGAATATGATCTCGGTTTTATTCTAATTTACTATCCTTCAATAAAAATCGAAATTTTCCGAAAAAAGTGCATTTACATGGTGTTTTTGCATTTCAAATCTTTTATAGAAGGAAAAGTCGTAGAATAAAAATTCTTTCGCCATTAAATCGGCCGTCACTTGAAGTATATGAAACACTATTTAAATTACGAAAAAGCAAGCTTACTGTTTTTTTCTAAATTTGCACCTGAATGCTCACTGTGCCAGCTCTACACAAACCTTTCTTTCCAAAGTAATAGAATTCACAAGGACAGCCTCAAACGTTCATTGTTAGCTCAAAGCTACCGAAATAAGAAATTAATTTAGGGCTTTTCTTGTAAATTCTGTAACTTTGGAAAGAAAGGTTTGTGTAGAGCTGGGAGATGTCTCATTTTAATCAGAAATGTGGGGGCTACAATTATATCTCATTAAGAGAGGTTTTGGTTATTTTTCAGAGTTTCTGAAAAACTGGTTTTGCATAAAATCGGTCTCTGGAGCCATATACGCTCAAACCACTATGATATTCAGATTCAGCATACTCGATTACCTATTGTCCACTAGGTTTCGTGAAAAAAGCGATCGGACAGTTGGAGTAGTTTCCTCGTTAGAACATATAGGTTACAATTAGTTTTTTTATTTATAAAAGGCAGTCATTACATATTGAATAATTTCAATAGTCACTGTAGAACATCAATAAAACGAAAAAATTATTTCAGTCGTTTTTACTCGTAATGCATTTCAAACCGTTCACTATATCTTATTTCTTTTCTAGTACGGGAACGAGAGCCAAGTGATTGGTTTACTTGAGATTTACAATGCGCTGATATCGTTACACATCGTTTGAATGCTAGAGTTGTTTGAGTGAAAAATTATGTACAATGGTGCTATTGTAACCAGCTAAAGAATTTATGTAATCATCATTGATATAGGTCGTTAAACGCGATAACTGAGGATAATAAAATTTTTTGGTGAATGTATAGTAATTTTAAATAATAATTATGACAAAAACTGAGTATCAGTTTACTCTTTTTTAAATATATTGACATTACTCTTTTTTAGTTAGCATAATCGTAATTTCTATGTATTGTAACCTTTAATAACGAATTTGTAAAAGTTAAACAGGTTATGGTCTGACGATGAATTAGAATCACTCACTCATATGAACGAAACAGTAAAAGCCTAGAAAAGAACAGAAAAACGAAGATTTGACAAAGATGAAAAACACACACTAAATTGCTGATCGGTTGAAAATATAGATATGTATCATACACTATCTCTTGGTCTGAACCAAAAATTATAATTATAGATAATCTACAGATGAGAGATTTCCGAACCTTTCTATTCCTTAAAAAGGTTAATTTTTTACTAAATCTTCTCAAACTATCGGGTGTTCCAGATTAAATAGCACTCTTAGTATTTCTTCTACAACATTTTTTTTGTTCTGTTCGAATGTTTAACTATTTTTTCATTAGATGCGTCGTCAGCTACGAAAATATCAGAAACATATTTTTCAAGGACTCAAAAATAAAAAGTTAGAGGAAATAGTGTGAAACTTCCATGTTTATTACTTTGTAACCGAAAAGATACTTTTGTCAATTCTAGTTCTCATAATTTGCCACATAAAACAAAGAATATAAACGTTTTGTAGCTCTTCCAAAACTCTATCAGCTGACTGTATTTAAAGTTCTTTATAAGCACAAACGATTAAGGGAAAATTTTATCAATTTTTGCCAAAAGTCATCATTTTTAAACTGTAGTTGTAGAGCATTTATGAAAATATTTATACCTCAGCCAAAACAAATCCGACCACACAATGTGAGCTCGGATTTGTTTTATCTTAGAAGACTTCAGGCAGTATCCAAATGAAACCGGTAGAATTTGGGCATATTATAGGTGGTCGGATCAGGGTTAAGACGAAGAAGAGAAATCTTCACCTTTTTCTTTGGTAAGTTTTGATAAAATCGCATTCTGTATCGCAAGAATAGGTTCAAATGGAATCTATGATACTTGAAAAGAAAGGCGAAAAAATAGTTAAGTGTTGGGAATACAATAAAAAAAAGCTGTAGAAGAAACACTAATAGTGCCATTTAATCTGGGACACATGATGCATAAAAATATTAGTAAAAATGTATTATGGGAAAAATACTTAGTAATACTTTTTACGATTAAAGCAATAATTTGTTTTTTTCGGTATACTTGGACTTACCTTTATTAACAATAAACTAACAATTACCAACCATTGATATACATGACTCCAACATGTTTTTTTGTCCAAATTTTTATTTTTTCTTCTTCGTTGTCATGTTCTAATAACGAATACTTCCGTGAACCAAATTTTTGCTGTGTCTAATATGATGTTATTATCATATCTAGTGTCTAAAAAAAGTAAAAAAATTCGTAGTTTGCATAATGAACTAACTATAAGTAGTATGCTAAACAACGCTTTGAAATGTTCAAGAAATGCTTGCAGTAACAGTCTCAGTCCGTGTTCAACACACTTGAATTGAGTCTTTGGCATGGATGAAAAGTTTACTATTTACATTCCGATAGTTACAGATAAAACGATATTATAAAAGAGATGCAGATTACGTATCACGGAAAAAAAATTCACAAGACAGTTGAGATGCCTAAAAAGTTGATTTTAGCTACGATCTAGTTTGAAAAATGAAAAAAAAACATTAATTATGGAGTAAAATGCTAAATTTCACATATATGAGATTATAAATACAAGGTTTTTTATTCTTCTGATGATGATTTATTGCGTCACATGACTGGGCCTGTTGCCTGCTTTCACGATAAAGCAAGGAGAAAACAAATTTAGAAAGAGTTACAACGTGTTTAAAGATACACGTTTTAAAAACAACGTGGAGGGAGAAGCAACACACAATAAAATAAATAGAAAGAAAAACACCGGCTTTCAGATATTGGATAGTAAGGTAGATAAACAAACAAAAAGGAGTATTACAGGTTTAAAAGTCTATTTACAAAACTGTTTTAATCGGATTCAAACGTAGACGTAAAATGTTTGTTTCAAATTTTTTATCGTGTGAGGAAAAGTTTAAAAACATATTTTGAAAAAGATCATTGGAGAGAAAATTAGAAAAGGTGAAAGAGCGAGATAATTTTGTAACATAATCTTTTAGCATTAAGCAAGAAGAGATTCATGGAGGGCACGAGTAGAGAACCAGGATGGAAGACGAACAGAAATTTTTAACCCAGAGTTTTGCACACGTTGCAGTTGAACCCAGCTATACTCGAAGATACAGTGAAGGGCGGGAGAAGAGTAAGTTAAAAGAGAACGAACAAACGTTTTGTAAACAAAAAACAGCAGTATGAGGATAAAGTCCCCAATGGCTGCCACACATCGATCCAAGAGTACCTAGACGTTTACGTGAACGGAGACATACATCCTTAACATGCGGTGCGAAAGACAGAGATTAATCTAGTTTAAAACCCAAGTATTTAAAAATATACACTTGATGTAATAAATTTCCATTGATAAATAAAGATACAGTTAATTTTCTATCACGCGGACATTTAGTGAAAAACATTGCAACAGTTTTTGAGTAACTTATTTATAAACACTATTTTTTACAAAAAACAGACAGTTTATTACAGAAAACTAGTAAGAACTGTTCGTCTCCTTGAACATGAAAATACGACCATAACGCGGCGATATCATCAGCGTACATGAAATGTTTACATTAACAGATAAACAGAAAGACGGGAGATCATGTAAAAAGAAATTGAAAAGAAATGGAGAAAGAATACTCCCTTAGGGTACACC